GTCGATCCATCCCCGCCCGGCCACGGGCAGCGCCTGCCCAAGGACTACATGGTGGAGTCGGTGCTGGTGACCATCTTCTGCTGCCTGCTCACTGGGCTCATCGCCCTCATCTACTCCCACGAGGTAATGATGGTGCGGTTCTGATTGACACCGAACCACCCAGCACATCAAGTCCCCCCTCCCGGTGCTTCGGCTCTCTTCTAACGTCTCCCCTTCTCCCCCTCACCAGACCCGCGCTGCGCTCGGCCGTGGGGACGTGGCTCAGGCAAACGTGGCATCCAAACGGGCCCAGTCGCTGGTCCTCTTCAGCCTCCTCTTCGGGCTGTTTGCCTCCATCAGCTGGGTCATCTACGTCCTGGTGGCCCTGTACCTATGACAGGGACCCCGAGCCCCAGGGACACGGTGTGTGCTGGGGGCTCCTCGCGGCTGACCCACAGGCAGGTGGAGGGGCCGCAGCCCCTGTGTGGCATCACTGGGGCTGCTGTGGGAAACGGGGGACCACAAAGTGTTATTGATGGGCGACCGCAAAGTGCTATCGGAGCTGAGGGGCAGCGTCCGTCCTTCCCAGCGGGGCGAGGAGCTGCTCCGCAGCCACACGTGCCTTCGCCCACCCACTCTCAGCCCCACGAACCGCCGCGCAGGCAGGACGAACCCAAACTGAAGCGATGCCGGTGCCGTGCCCCGCTGGAGCCAGTTCTGGGCAAGGAACTGTGTCGGAGCAGCAGCACCAGGTACAGGATCAGGCTCTGCTGTGGGATGTTGAATCCCGTTGGCACGGACTGTCACATGGAGGTGCCAAACGGGACTCTGTCGCAGGGGGAGCATCTTGCAGAGTCGGGGCTGGAGCCGGAGCAAATGGCCGAGGCGTAAGGGAGAGGCCGAGCCCTGCCGCCAGCCGCTCCGCCGGCAGCTGCTGCTCTGGGCATGCGAGAAACCCTCTGTGGTAATTAATAATGTGAGAAGATGTAAACGCATGTATTTAGCTTCTACGGTAATTTTTGCACACAAATACACACACACACACGCTGTATCACCACTTTCTTGCTGCTTCCAGATTGAAATAAAATACGGGTGTAGCCAAAACTTCTGTTTTCTGTGCGCACTAAGGACCTTTCCCCTCTTCCATCCACCACAAAATTCAGGGCGAGTTCTCCTATAACGGGCCAAATCAGGGTTTCCCCCAAAAGCAGGCAGGTGCCGCGGCCCCAGGAGACCCCGGGGACGGGGACGCGCACGGGGCTGTGCTGGGGATGCAGCGGCCCCAGGTCCGGGGGTGCCACTCGCGGAGCTGCTGCGGGGAAGGGGAGGATGAGCCGCTGGGTCTTCCAAAGGCTGCTCCCATGAGCCGAGCGGGGCTGTAAGTGTGCCCCGTGTGAGGGCC